CCTCATTTTTAGAGTCTTTTCCCCTTGCCCTTTCCCCTATCAAAGCAAGAAGAATATGATGTATAACTATGAGATAAAAATTTGTTTACTGACATTTGCTTCTTAAACCTCTTGTAGGTAAAGTAGGTGATTTTAAGCAAGGTATGCCTGACTTTTAATAAGCATCACAACCTCTTTTCTTCTCCTTTCTTCTGGGTTCTAACAGCAAGACAGCTACTACATATATATATATATATATATATATATATATATATATATCCTCAGCTGTACAAGTGCCAGTACCCCACGTGTATCTCGAAAGAGTATTTCTCAAACCATACTGCAAATATAAATCAGATGGGAATTTGTTAAAATGCAGATTCTAGTCTTTTGTTTCATTGTGGTGCTGCAGATTGCACCCAGGGCCTCACACGTGGTAGGCAAGGGCTTTACTACTGAGCTGCATCCCCAGCCCAAATTTTGCATGCATTCTGACTCAGCAAGTCTGAGAGTGGCCTGAAATTCTAACACACTCCTGGCAGATGGGAGGCTTGGTCAATGGACTTTATCTTCAGCTGTGAAACTTTAAAACTATCTGTTAAACCTTTGCAATTCACCAAGTGTTTACTTTCATGTGCTAGTGATAAATAGAAACTTTCTTACTGTTCTATGCTACTTTCATATTTACTTCTGATCTGTTAAAGAGCTTTTATCAATTTATCACTCTTTCTTGTTTTTCTTTCTTTTAGTTCATAATGGATGCATTTTTTTTTGCATGCAATTATACACCAGTAGATTACAGAGAAAAGAAGCTTAGAAAGATAAAATTGAAATGATGACCTGGCTCATTCTCTCATAATTTGTAGTACTGGCAGGAAATAAGAAGTATGGACAAAAGAAATAATGAGAAGTAATTCCGTCAAATGTCTTACTGTTTTTGGTAAGGCATAATTTATACTTTTTAACAGTCACTCTGTTAAAATGTTATAAATGCATACATTAATAGCTAAATACAAAATAAATAAAATATGGGAAAAGTCTAAACAATAATTGCTTTCTGGTAGGCATTATTTTAGATGCCTATTGGGGGCAGAAATTGTTCCTTTCAAATTTCACTCTGGCCATGATTGGGAAACCAGCAAGATTCATCTTTGCAATCTCCCTCCCTCCCTTTCCCCTTCTTTTTTTTAATATTTATTTTTTTAGTTATAGGTGGACACAATATCTTTATTGTATTTTTATGTGGTGTTGAGGATCGAACTCAGTGCCTCACGCATGGTTGGCAAGCGCTCTACCTCTGAGCCACAACCCCAGCCCCCCCTTTCCCCTTCTTGGCAAAAGTTACCACTGACAATAGCACCTGATGATGCTCTTGACCAGGAGGGAATTCTGGGAAAAACCTGCATGCATGTGGCATCTTCCCCCCCCCTTCTCTCTCTCTCTCTCTCTCTCTTATACATACACACCACCATAACCATCAACACCATCAACAGCAAAAACAAAGTTAAACCACAGCATTTACTTTTGATCCTCCCATATTGGGCATTCCACCCCAATAAATTTTTCTTAATTTGATACCTCTCACTGCCTTTCTTCTATGTCATAAGAAACTAGCAGATAATAACATGAATTAGAAATAAACCATAGTAGGAAAGTGTCAAAGCAGTAGATCATTAATGATAATAAAACCTAATATTTAATAGTGCTTATGGTGTGTTAGGTACTGTTCTAAGCCTTTGGCCTGGATCAATTCATGCTGGCCTTACAGCACCCTGATATAGTTCTCCTTTACTATAACAAATATCAGTGATAAAGAGAAAAGGTTTATTTTGGCTCATGGTTTGAGAGGTTCCAGTCCATGATCAGGCAGATCCATTGCTTCGAGGACTTTGATGGGAATGGCAAATTGGAAGGGAGCTTGTGGCAGAGCAAAACCACTCACTTTATAGCCAAGAAGCAATAGAGAAAGGAGAAAGGAAGGGACTAGTGTCCAAATGACATACTCCCAATGACCTAAAGACCTCCCCCTTTAGGCTCCATCTCTTAAAGGTCTATCACCTTCTAATAGCACCTCTCTGGGAATCAAACCTTTACCATGGACGTGGGCCTTTGGGCCATTTTAAGATCCAAAATAGCATAAAGCAAGATGGTTATTATTATCTTCAGCTACTAGTTAAGTACTTATGTTTGATAGTATGCAAATGTAAGTTCTTTTGTAGATCTAACCAATGATTTTATTTTATATACAGAGTTTTAAAAAAGTTTTAAAATCATTCCTAGTTAGTATAGTAGAACTACACTATCCAATGGTATCCACTAGCCACTGGGGCTATTGGCATTTGAGACTGCAGTGTGAATGAAATATTCTATAAGTATAAAAGACACACACATTTTTTGAAGACAAATAAGAATGTAAAATTCCTCTTTTACATTTTTTGATTAATTTTTGAAATACAAAATTTAGAATATCATGGAATAGATGTTATTCACATCTTTTACTAAAACTGATTTTGCTCGTTTCTCTTTGCTTTTTTTTTTTTTTAATGTGACTTCCAGAAATTTTAAGGCTACCTACGTGACTGGATTCATGTTTCTACTGGATGGGGCCATACTAGAAATATATCTTCTGTGGTCTTTTGACAGCTGCTTAAGCTGAGAACCTGTCTAAATAGGAACAGTGGACACTAAGAGTTAGTGACAGACAGGGTGTGGGGGTAATGTATGCCATAGGGCCTGGTTCACAATTCAGTCTCTGAAAAGCTGAAGAATCCAGTTGTAAAAAGATGGGGCAAGTCAGAGCCTGTTGTCCCAGCAAGGAGCATTAGAATGCATTTAAAACCTGCAGTGGGAGGGAAACCTCACCCTAGAGAGTCATCATGCGGGTAGGCATGAGAAAAAGGACAGACTAGAGTTCAAGAAGCGGGAAGAAGGAGGTCCAAGCTGAAGAATGCCTCCCGTTGTGTGTAGTGATATGTCCCCAGGAACTTGAGGGCTATTAGAGAGGGGCAATCCCTTCTGAATGCCAACGCTGGGAGTCAGGTTCCCAGCTCCAAACCTCCAACTCACCTAAGGACAGTGAGAAAGAGCTTGGCCACTCCTTTTCTAATATGTCCAGGCAAACGAAATACCCAGACTCCCTTATGATATAATAATATAATTCTGAGAGTGTCAGACCCTTTTGAACAGAAGAGTTTTTCAGAATCAAAAAGCTGCTCCATTCCCTCCAGCTATCTCACCCCAACCAGATTTCCAGGGTGAAGATTTCTGAGAGCAGACCTTGGTTACCCCTTTATTAAAGGGTTCCGGCCCTGACCTTTCTGAATATGTATTTTTAAACTTCCATGCCTTGTTTCCTAGCAAAGTCAGTATTCATGTGGGAAAAATTTGTGTTAGCCGCCACCCATCCTTTGATGTCAAAAAATAGATCTTTTTTTAAAAAAAAAACCTGTTTCCTGAGACAAATGCCAACTATTTTCCTTCTCCCTCTCCTTTCCCCATCATCTGCTTAGGATTCTGCAATGTTATATGATTTCTTTTTTTCATATATTGAACCTGATTAGGAGTCGCTAAATGGCAAAGTCACTTTGGTCTCAGATCCACCCATATGAAAACAGTCTGAAAAATTATAACACTCAGGATTTTACTGTCAGATACTGGCAGATGATTAAAATACCATGCCCTCTGTGCCCTGTGTGCTTCAGAGTCTCCTGTGCCATGCCTCTCACACTTTGGGGGAAGTAATCAGACATGCCATTAAAAATTGGAAGGCTCACCTAATTCAGGTCTGTTTCAGAAGATGAAGGTTAGGGCTGCTGTGGAGATGAAACCAGATTTGTGAATGGAAGCATCAGGCCGGGTTTCCTGTCCTTTGTGTTTTCTTACAGATCTAAAGTTGTAACTTCCACAAGATATGAACGACTTAGAGTTTCTATTTCTATTCTGTGTCCCCAAGGGGGGCGTATTTGGCAGTGCATCCAAGATCAAAAACAAAATCCCTTCCTCTGGCTGGCGTTCAGCTTTTACAATGTATTTTTAGATTTGGAAATGCATTCTCCACTCCCTCCACCCAGCATGTATATTTTTACTCTCTCCTCTTATTCTTTCGAACTTCCAGAGTCTGTTTCCTGGCAATTTGAGAAGTGAGAAATGCCTGCGTGGGGGGAAAAAAATGAAGACACATGTTGTGTTGAAATTTTGATAGGAAAGCATTGCCCAATGACAAAACCAGGGACGATCTCGTGATGTGTCCTTTTGTTCACAGTAACTTTTCCTGTTCTGATCTCTGTCTCTCTCTCCTGCTCAAACTGTCCCAAATCCAGACGTCGTGACCCATTTTGATCAACAGCCTAATGATGTCTAAGTGCCAGGACAGTGTGATGGTCTTAATTTGGAGAGAAGGAAGAACAATTGGATGAATGGATCCAGGGGTCCTGTTTTAATTCACTGTAAATATCAAAAGCAGGTGTCCATTCAGCCTCAATGCTGATCTAAGTAGCTACCCTACGATGGTAATATAAACTCTTTAAACCTGTGTTTTCCTTCCTTCAGTCAACGAGGATTATTGAGCCCTGATTATCTGCCAGGCATGGTTCCAAACATGGGGGAGAGCACAGCAAAGAAAACCAGGCCTGCGCCCTTGTTGATTTTGTAACCAGCTGAACTCAGCCAAGACATTACAAAGGTGGCCTAAGGACAAAGTGAGCTGTCCGCAGGGCCCTAGCTAACTCCGCATTCAGATTAACTGTGATTTATTCTGGATACAATTAAGCCAGTACTGTGGAAACCCTTTCAGGGCAGAGGATGATTTTTTTTTTCCTTCTCTTCTGCTTCTTAATTTTTTATCTCAGATCCACAAGCTTCTGAAAAATGTGTTTCTGTTTATTCTCCATAGATTATCTAACCACAAATGCTGGCTGGGATTTCAGATTTACTTGACATAGTGTGAGGTCTGATTATATTCTGACTTTCAAAAAAAAAAAAAAAAAGACAAAGAATACAGCAAAAATTATTTTCACACAGGATTATGGTACAGTATTACAATGTATTATGTGCAAAATTCCATTTAAAAATCATTTACATAAGGATGTACAAGACAGTACGTGCTGAGACTTCTAGTTTAACAAAAGCCACGGCTGAAAAAGGTACAAGGTACAAAGCCCACCCTATCAGATGACTCTGCACCCTTACACAGTACAATAACATGTTTTTGTAACTACCTGTTACGTCAACACACGACCCTCCTAGTTTGTGCACTCCAAACTGGTTTTATAAAACCTAAATCTAACCTCACTGTACATTTATTTATTCACTTATTTTTTTGGTGGTGCTCCCCAGGGCCTTGCACATGCTAAGCAAGAGCTCTACCACTGAGCTGCATCCCCAGCCACTGTACATTCTACAATGCAGATGGGTGTTTTTGTTCTTGTTTTGTTTTTTGGTGCATTTTCAAATTCTTTTCCCAACAGCATCTTATTTAACTCAACAAAAGTTATATTATGCATTACCTTGTTCTTGGTTTCTGTTCCAAATAATTGTATGCTGTTAGTTTTGATTTATGTGAAAATGTGGGGGGAGGGAGAGCTAACCTTGATTTTTTTTTGAATGTGTGGGATTTTCAAAATTGTTTTCAAAAGTGGATAACAAGTGGAATAGATTCTTGCCAAATCTTCTTGCATATTTACAGTATCTTAAGCAAAGGTGGTTCCTTCTGACTCTATTTCCTACATCCTGCAGAGCCTGAACCAGCAGACTACACTTGTCAGTCCTTGGTTAGAGTCTGTCTGTATTTCTCTCTCTACCTGTCTCTACATTCACTTCTCTCCTATTCTCAGCATCACCTGTTTAAACAAACAAACAAACAAACAGCACAATACCAGTAAATGTGAACAAGATAACAGTACATCAAATTTCCAAAGGCATTCTGTGGCCAGTGTCAGGAATACATTGCTTTAAGAAATCCAGCAGTCTCTCCCCACAAAGTTGCCAAAACATCCAGTTACAGAAGAGAGACTTTTAAAATGCAATACTCTCAAATCCAGCAAGAGATTTATTTTTCCAATATTAAATGTTAAAATCACATGCATAATTATACAATATTTTAAAGTTACAAAAATATTTTAAAAACCAATCCTGACAGTTTACCTGCAACTGCTATAAAAATTTCTATGAAATATATAAAAACACAAAGGCTCTTTGTAAAAATTTTTTTAAAGAAAGGAAAAAAAAAAGTAAAAAGGAAGAAAAGATGGAGTCATCCACAGAACTGAGAAGTACCTGACGCACTGCATCGGACAGTCTTGTCAAACACCTGCTGTTGAATTCAAGAGAAGAGCTTGTACCTTAAAAGTTCATTCAGCACATATACACACATGTCAGCCATCCTAGAACCTGGCTAGGGGCAGGTAGCAAACAATTTCAGGACACTTGAACCGTGAAATGCAACTCTGCATTGTAGGAGGAGAATCCTACTATTTTTACCAACCTCAGCTACCTTTCATGGACAATGTGGCCAAAGATGCCCTGGGCTAAGTTAGCCTTCGGATGGCTTAGTCAATGCACCAAGGGGTCCTCCTGGAGGTGACTGCCTTCCAAGCTCAAGCTCGTGGCAACCAGAAGGCCAGGCTCTCAGCTCCCCTTAGGATGCATCCACAGGAAGTCCCCCATGGCTTCTACGAGGGGGTGAGATCTTCTTCACCATTCTGGAAAATGACACCGTAAGGATCATTCTTGATGCGCCTGTAGACGAAGTGGAAGATGTGGGGTTGTGGGCGGCTATGCAGCTCGGCCTTGATTTTTTGAGGATAAGTGTCCTCTGCCAGCTGCTGCCACGTTTCGTCAACGAAGAGAAAGAGGCTATACTCCTCTGGGTCCCCCACCTTAAACTTCTCAGCGCAGAGCTGACACACATCCTCAGTGGTGATGTACGGTCTCACGAGGAGGGTCTTTCCTGTGCAGCCACTGTTGACCTCCTGGAATGCAACACGGAGGTAATTCTGTAGGTGGAAAGAGACATTGGAGACAGTCAGAAGGGAACACCAGACAGAGCAATAAGTCACATCACGAGAGGCAAAAGGCTGGACCTGTGAGCTACTTCAGGGCTCTGGTTCATCACAATGTCTAACGTTATGTTCACAAAACTCACATTGCAAGGCTGATCTGAATTTGGATGGTGGGGAAGATGACTGTATGGATTGAGCTGCCACATTTGAGCTCACTGAAAATAGAAGAAACAGGAAGCCCATTCAGCCCTGGTTTTCATCTTGTCAGTATCCCTCATAAAGCCTGCTTAAGAAATCCCTGCATAAGAATGTGAACCACATCCAAAGCTGGGATTATTCCCAGCTTGAAAAACACACCAGACAACAGAAGAATCTGAACCAGGAGCCAGCAGGAAGAGATTTTAAAAATCTAGACACAACAGCACATACCGGGCTCACTTCCTCTCACACTCTTCTATGCAGCATAAGCAAGGGCAATACTGTTAGGCGGAACCCCAAGAAACCACCCATGTTTGACTATTCTTTGAGCTCCCCAAATGGCACTTCATGTGGTTCAACCTAACACCAGGTGCCAAGTGGCTCTGAGTATAATCTGGAAAAAATCAGAGGGAGGAGAATGTTGATTCTGCCAGAAGACTCTGGAGACGGAGCTGATTAAGTGCAAAGTGGTGTTGCAGAGAAGCAAAAGGAGACATCTGCAGGCATGGCACCTTGAAGGGGGCCAGGTGCACACCGTCTTGGAATACAATAAACCCGTGGCCGCCCAACACAAAGCACAGATGAGACATGAAGAATCCAAAACTCATGCCAGACTCTCCTGGATTCTGTGACCCTAGATAACTCCTTCAATTTCCATTTCTTTAAGAGTGGGGTTCTCAGATAAAAGTAGAGAACACCCAGTTATATTTGAGTTGCATCTAGGAAACACATGCATTTCCTTCTCTATCTGGAGACCCTGCTTAGGAGCAAGGGGAAGGCATGCTCTCTGCCTCCGTTCTCACATGGTTGCCATGAAGGCTAACTGGGATCACAGCAGGGAAGGCTCTTGGGGACAGTGATGTCTTCTGCACATGTGAGATGTGTTTTATGTCTGTTTCTAGGGAGGACATTTGCCAGCTGATGACTCTGCAGAGAGGAGTGAGTGGGGCGTGCACAGAGTTGAATGTCTTTCTTTAGAGTGTGTCCATATTCTATCAGACCCCACCCTGCTCTTCCATCCAACCTACCCCACCCATCCTGCTAATAACTTGGCTCCAACACTTTATATGCGTCTACTCAATGACTCTTGAAAAGAACTTGGTGAGAGACGTCTACATTCTCTTCATTTAACCAGAGAAGAAACTGAAGCACAGGGAAGCTAAGTAACTTGCCCAAGGCCACACAGTTAGTAAATGGCAGAGTCAGCATGATTCCACTTTTACCACTAGGGTGTACTCCCTCTTCCAATGTGAGGAGATACCCATGTCTGGGACATTTGCTTTAGGAGTTCCAAGTAGAACTACATGTCTGGGTTTTTGCTTTTACCCCTGAAATGAGTGCTAACATTTTCCATCTTGAATTATATTCTGAGAAGGTGTTCATCTTCAAAGGAAGCAAGGTCACGGATTTAGGGGGATGGTGCTGAAGGAAGTGGCTGTGTGGTATCTGGTGACCTACAGATGGATAGAAATGACAGGAGGAAAGGTCTAGTGGCAGGTGGAGAGAAGGAAGAATGCACTTTTCTAACTTTTGGTCTTCTCAGAAGGTACAGCACCTCAGGAATGCCCTCTTTGTATAACCAATATAGAATAGCCCAGGGATCTGCATGTACCAAATCACTTAGCACATGAATATTCTTAAACAACTCAAGAGGGCAGAAGAAGCAACACACAGTATGTGTTCTTATTTACTTATTTATTTTTAGATTTATGTGTCTGGAAGGAATTTCTGAGAATACTGCAATCTTGAAGACCATGCTGATCTTGCCTTTCAACAATAGCTGACTTTGAACCAAATATACTTTTAGGTTATTTTCAGACCATTAAGAAGGGTGGGGGGAAGGCAAAGGAAGGTGAATCTGGACATGAAGGGACATCTTTCTTGACTGTCCAGTTTCCTGATGGAAAACCTGCCACTTGGCCCATAGAAACAAAGGACAATTGGCTTTTGTAATTCCACTCAAAAGCTTCAAAATGTTATTCAAAGATGTTTGCAGACTTACCTGTCATTTTATAGATGACAAGTAATTCAGAAATTGTGTCAGAGAAAGATTTATGAAGCCTTAACCCATCTCTACTCTCTGAGAAACAAGCTCATTGAAAATCCCACATTCCCAGGCATGAAAACTCCTATCAGGAGACCTGAGCAGGACTTGAGTCAGATGTTGTCTCCAGTTCAGTTCCCTGAAAAAGTACCATAGCCTCTGCTACTGAGATTCAGTAAGTGAAGGAGAGAATGGGGAAGGAGAGGAGGAAGTCATCACTGAACCCCTCTTCTTTCCAAAGGGAGGCAAGCCAAATTGCAGCTCATAATGCTGCTGGTTCCTGATGAAATACAACATCCAAGGCCCATGCCAAGTGCTTCCTCTTCCTTTTTTACTTCCTATCTTCTCAGGTACTCAGCACCCAGGCAGAACATTTTGGGAGAAGTCCTGCCTTAATTTGACTTTGTTTTCTTAAGGGCAGCAAAATTTGTGCCAAACCCATTTATATACACAAGTGGTCCTGGACTTGCAACCATTTGATTTAATGATTTTTCAACTTTATGATAGTGCAAAAGTGATTCACATTCAGTAGAAACTGCAATTTGAGATTTGAATTTTTTATTTTTATTTTTGATTTTTGTGTGTGCTAGGGATTGAACCTAGGACTTTACACACGGTAAACATGTGCTCTACCACTGAGTTACTACATCCCCAGCCTGGATTTTGAATTGGGATCTTTTCCTAGACTAGTGATATGATCCTCTCATGATGCTGGCAGCAGCTGAGAGCTGCAGCTGCCAGTCAAACAGGGGACACAACCAATCCTGTACAGCATACTATTTTGCTAAGTTAAGATGCTCAATGCATTAGGTATATTCAATGCATTTCCCATCTACAATATGTTCAATTCACTATGGGTTTATGGGGAATGTAACCTCATCATAAGACGAAGAGTGTCTGTTCATATAAATTAAAAAAAAAAAAAAGAAGTGAAACAACGAGGTCAGAGGTGGCTTAAAATATCCCCTTTCCATCAGATGATTCAACCGAGAAAGGACTCTGGGGCCTTGAGCCAGGATGTGCTAGGGGACCCAGTTCTGTCTCCCTAGTGCATAGAGGAAGCACTCTGGGGCACTCAGTTTCATACCTGAAAGTCATCCACAGAAGGGATGCTCCGGTTCGTGGTTCTCCGTTTATGCCACTGCCTCAGGGTGTCCCTGGTCTCTGAGCTGAGCAGTCGAGCTGCTTGTTCTTCTTGGAAATTCTTTATCAGAGAAAGTGCTCCATAGGCACTTGTCAAGTAATAGCCTCCTGGAAAGAGCAGAAAAAGTGGATTCTCCATGAGCTTCATACTCTGGTAGTAACAGTGAAGGTGCTCTAATGTTAGAAGCCATAATGCATACAGTTGTCCTTTGCTATCATCAGGAGATTGGATCCAGAATCCTTCCCTTGAGTATCAAAATCCATGGCTTCGATATCAAAATAAATGTCCTTGTATATGGAAAGAAAAATAAGTAAAATAGGATTGTATTGGCATATAACCTATGCACACCCTCCTGTATATATACTTTAAATAATCTCTATTACAATGTAAATGCTAAGTAAGGAATTGTTACAATGTACTCTTTAAGAAATAAGGATAGTACAGACTTAAATTTTTTTTTTTCCAAATATTTGCAATCCATGGTCGGTTGAATCCACAGTGCAGAACCTATGGACATGGAGAGTTGACTTTAATTTCCTCATCTCTTCTACATGCATTTCCTGGTGGGACTGCAGGAGAACAAATCATTCACTCCTTCATCCATGAATTCCACACATGCATCTCACAAACACCTATGGAATGACTCAGGCCTGTGCCAGGGCCAGGGGAGCCCTGGAGAGCTGACAACATTTCTGTTTCCACTGATGGAATTTCCATTCCCATAGATGAAACAGACAAAACCTCTATATTATTAAAGTAATTGTGAAAATGGTCTGCCAGAAAAGGTCAGGGGTATTGAGACCTGATAGGGAGGTGGGGACAAAATCAGGCAGGTGAGGGGGTGGGGTCAACTGTTCCAAGGCCAGAATCACCTACTTTTGTCTGCGAATCTCCTTGGCTTTTCTTTTTGAAATTCCTGTTTTATGAACTGTAAGTGAACTGTACACTCTGGAAGAACTGCAGCACTTAACAAATGTGCTCACAAAAATATGAGTACTTCAAAATAATTTCTCCCTCCAGATTTTTTTCTTATCCTTACTTACAGACTAATGTCTTGTATATGGGAGCTAGAGAACTAGGAAAAAATAAAAGGGAGTTGGGATCTCATCAAAATACAAGAAGACTAGTAGAGGAAGAGGACCAGAGGGTGGGAGAGAGGGAGGGAAAGGGAAATGTAATTGACCAAATTATACTATATGTACATAAGAATATGTCACAATGAATCCCATTACTCTGTAGAATTATAATTCACCAATAAAATTAATTCAAAAAGACAAATATAATATGACATTTAAGAAAATTATTTACAAAGAAAAGCAAGTGACATTCCTTTAATGGTACATTTAGGGATAATCTTGTGTTTCTGAGAATTGTTAACAGACTTATAGTATGGTGAGATGAATATGTATTTGTTCATGTTTTTAAAAATTTTTCCAAATTTTCATAGTGCATTATACACTGTATATAATTATACATTGTACATAATGGTGGGATTTGTTATGCTATATTCATACATGCATCAAACATAATTCGATCAGTTTTGTTCTAAAATTTAATGAAATGGCCTTAGAAGAATTTGTGAATTCTGTGCTGCAGAGCCAGTAGGGGGAGCCTTGGAGGTTTATTAAAAATGTCTTGATTAGGCACAGTGCATTTTATTTTTAGAGACATTCTCTGTCAAAAATATCCATTGAATCTCTACCATGAGCCCAAGTCAGTCACAAAGCAGGAAGTGTGTTCATAAGAAATAGAATCTGAGTTCCTGCTTTCCAGAAATCTATAAATTTATTAAAGAACACAGTTAAATGTACCTCGAAATGTATTCATGCAGAGAACAGAGCATTGTGGTTAGGTGAGGTTCCCACCCCCCAAGAACTGGCACTTTCATGGCCAAAGTATTTAACTACTCATGCAAAACCCTTTAGAACACTCTCTAATCAATGTGCATGATGTAAATGACTCTATGCCTTGGGATCACAGGCAACGTACCCTATGAACTTGCATCAGACATAAACTTGAGAAAGAAAATGTATTTGTTGTTTTCAGGTCACTGATGGAAATTTGGGGGTAAAATTTTTTTTAAACTGCAGCATAATTTAGCCTACTGTGAGTAATATGCTTTCCATGCATGGTTATAATATGTTGAGTTTTTCTTGGCCGGTGAAAGAGAGGTGCTACAGATTGGATATAGTGCCTGCTAGGCAGCTGTCCACTGAGATATGCCCAGAGCCCAAGTTAAGCATTTTCCTGACCTTATTGCCCAGGGAGAAAGTTCTCTAGGGCAGCCCCCACAAAATGCTGAATCCAGATTATTCATTTTTACTAAATATTTGCTCCAGAACAAATTAGCAAGTGATTGAATGAGAAATGAGGAGTATAAAATGTAAATTGCACAAGTGGGCTGTGTGTGAGAGAACTATGCGCACAGTAGCCATGTGAGGAGATAGGTCTGGCATTGCATACTGACTGGGCTGCGAGATGCAAGTGTGCCTTCCCTTCAGTTCTGCCTGTGATCCCACACAGAACCTGAGATGGGTGTGACTTGCCAAGATGTCAATCAATCTGCTGACCACAAGACATCACAGAGCAAGACTCCGCCCTTGAAACCTTATCTCCTGCCCTATTTGGAGAACATTCTATTGAAATTCCATTGTGAGCCCCCCACCCCCATAAAAATAAAGAGATTCCAGGTACACGCTCTCTTTTCCAGAAGTCTTTCCAGCGTGGAAGCTGACCTATAAGGTCGCAGAGCAGTCCCACCCTCAATATGAAAATTACTTCTGTGTCCTGTGCTTTTTTTGCTGTTTTCTTAGCTCTTTTAAATCCAGTTCATCTCATCTGCGTGGGTCGCTGGCGAGAGTAAACGTTACCCAGAGGATTTCAGGAGAAATCTATATGGACATAAGTAATCAAAACAGGCTGTGTGGAGGTGCCAGTATTTGAGCTATGACTTGGAAGGCTGCTATAATCCTGTGGGGGTGGAGGAGGGTTTCTTTGGACTTCAGATTTTAGACTCCATTGCTCTGATGTCTTCTGGCCACTAAGGAGAAACTGAAAATGCTGGAAGCACAAAATTGACCACACTTTCAAACATGTGGATGCAATTAGAGGAAGGTTTTCAATTTCAGCAAAACTATAACCCGACCATAAGAACTGTGTGTTTCGAAGGGATTCTATGACGCCTGTCCCGTAAATGGGAGTACCTGCTTAAACAGCAGAAAAGACATGTGGCTGCTGCTGCACAAACCAAAGAGGACTCTAGGCAAGCCAAGGAAGCGACAGATCTGTAACAGGCTGCTGGTGGTTTCTCTAAGTCTGTAGAGCTGCAGTTAGAAGCTGTGCAAGCCTGGTCTGTAACCACAGTTAACCCGCCTGGCCTGCCTGGGCGCCCCAAGGAGTAAAGCCAAAAAGGCCCAGACAAAAAGAAGTAGAAACAGGCTCTACTTCCTGCACACACTCATGGGCCCCTTTGTGTGTTTGCTAGTGTCCTTGTGTTTTCCTCATGTGGGATCCCTGGAGGTAAAGACAGTCACTTGCCCATCTGTCAGCAACAGTGGCTCACTCTGGGGCAATGCAAGGAAGAAAAGGAGGTAAGAAAATGGTTGTCCCGATCCTTGGGCCACAAGGTGTAAGCCTTTTGTTTGTCCTGAGGATTCATCATCAGCAACAGAATGGTGATTTTCTCAGTGAGAATGGCATGTCCCTCCCCCAAGCCCCAAGAGATCTTCTAGATCTTACTGGAATTAACTTATTACTAGAATTATCCATGATTTAAGTTAAAAAAAATCGCAGTAATAACACAGTGGGAAAAAATAAAAGTATGGCATTGACACTAACATATGCTTCTCTCGGTGGCTGGACAAAGCCTCTTGCGTTTCCCCTTCTGTCCAATCCCAGAGAAGGAAAGGTGTAGGGAGGATGTTAGTGGCTTCTTATGAAGTGTCTGAATCCATGGTTAAGAATATTAATAAGGAGACATAAACAAGAGAGAGGGTAAAAGGGTGACAGAGACCATTTGTGTCTGGGGTAGCAGATAGGATAGAAGACACTCATCATTCATCCTGAGTCAGCACTAGGGCAGGTGGAATGGGCATGATTTGGGCTACAGGGAGGGGAGCCCCTCTGATAGAAAAACTGAGATCTAGGGAATTCAGTTTGATGACTGAGGACATTAAAGCCATTTTGCATTTAAGATAACACAATGGATTTAACAACTGGGACGGGATGGTGTACCCCCCCACCACCATGGTAAAAATGCATTTAAGATCTCTCCTTGGAAAATGCTGGGGTGACACATGCCCTTGGGAAGTCCCTCAGCACATGGACCTTTGTACTCCAGCCCAGACTGAAACTCAATGGAGAAAAGAAAACAGAACCTCACCCTCAGGGTCTGTCTGGACTCTCCCATGCACAGGTCTTGATTTGTTCTCCTTTAGAAAGACAAGCTCACACAAGAGTCCCAGAGATTGTTTGTTCTCAAGGCTGTGAGCCATAGTGCCAAGCATCCAAATTATGTCCATGATAAAACACCTTACTAATGCATAAAGAGAAGGAATTTCTTCTGCTAAAACATGTTGGGGCTAGGCAGACACCAAGAGAAACCTGAACTACTAACATAAGTTCAAAGCAAATCATCCAGATCTTACTCCACTGTATTTTTTATTTTAACAATAGACTGACATCATTTTTGAAATGGAAAGAAAATTAATGATGTTTTTAATCTAAAAAACAAAATTAAAAAAAGATTAAAAACAAAAAACAGGTCTTCATTTATTTCACCAATTCAATAGCAAAAAAATGACCATTTTTTTCTGGCAATGAGACTACTCTCTAGTAAAATATTTATGACTTCCTCCTGGAATCAAAGAAACCATTGCTTTAAAAAAATGACATTTATTCTATTAAATGGTACTTTTAAAATTGTCACTAGCCAATCTCAATGAAGTATTAATCATAACAGGGTTGCATTTTTTGGTTTTCTTTTTTCTGACTCCAAAATTTTCTGTGATGAATATTTATTAATTGATAATCAGAAAAAGTCTATCTATACTTCTAAATAAAGAAAGAATTAAAATTGCAGTTAAGCCTTAAAATGTCAAAAAAGTACCTTTGTGACTAGTTAATGGGTGCAGGGTTTTATTTTAGGGTGAGAGGGGTCTTTGGGAGCTAGAAAGAGGTGGTGGTTGCCCAGTATTGGGTGTGTACTGAATGCCAATGAATTGTTCACTTTAAAATGGTTGATTTTACCCTCTATGAATTTCATCTCAGATTTTAAAATGAAATGAAAACAACAACAACAACAAAAAAAAAACCCACCCAGTTCCTCCAACTTTTTCAAAAGCATGTTACCTTCTCCGTGTAACAGTGAGGGGTCTAGGAGCTCCATCATGTACTCGATTTCAGTGTCCAATTCAAGCATGTCACACTGAGCAATGACATAGGTCAGAACTGGCAAGAAGTCATCAGCGCCATACATCCTCCCTGGGATTAAGAAGAAAAAGAGAGAGAGGAACAACTTTATTTCATATCCTACTTACTGCTTTTATTAGACAGCAGGGAGTCACACTGAGGAAATGAACTATTTAAAAACAGAGGTGGGTGTTTCTGGAATCATGTGTTGTCCGTGACCCTCCCAGCTGCTGACAGGAGAGACCAACCCTTACTCGCACTCTCAGAATGAATGTCTAGGAGCCATGGACATGGTTCAGATTTCCTCCCCTCTTCAATGCATAAAGTTATGCACTAGGACAGAGCAATATTTTTGAATGTTTTACCTTTGAACATTTTACCTTTTAGCCAGTCATATTACTAAACATTTATAAAATATTTATTCTGCCAATTCTTTGTTTGATTTCCTATTTTATTTCTGTGCACCTGAATCATAAATGTGATGGCAAGACCAAATTCAAATCAGGAATAAATTTTGCTTTGTATTCAATATAAGAACACAGCTAATTTGTTTAAATGTGCCAATTCAGTGTATGTTGGAGATACACATTGATTAACAGCAATAAATAGGAAAAAAACTCCAGTTATTATTTCTATTTTTTAATTTACAAGGATGGTTCTCAACTGGGGGTGATTTTGCTCCCCCCAAGGAGTGATGGACATAGTTTGGAGACATTTTCACTGTTACAATTGGAAGGTAAGATTACAAATAGCATCCAGGATGCTGCTAAACTTCCTACAGGAAGTAGACAAGCCCCCCCAATAAAAAAATTACTCTGTTTAAAACGTCATTCATGAAGTGCTTCAGAAGAACATAATCCTGTGTAGATTATTGGGGCAACTTTTAGAAATGATCTCGGGAACTCTAGAAAATTTATTCATGTATGTGAAATACTTACAAATTTTAGGGACCATGTTCACAAACTATCATTTCCAGCCCAAGAGCTTAGATTGTAATGATTCCTAATTTGACAATTTGCAATGTGCATTTATATTCATATCTACTTAAGCAGAGGTTAATAGAGCCTGCATTTCTTTCTGTTGCTTTTCCACTAAGCAATTTAAAAAAAAAAAAGTTGGTAATTGCTGGGCATGGGGGTGCATGCCTGCAATTCCAGCAATTTGGGAGGCTGAGGCAGGAGGATTCTAGTTTCAATACCAGCCTCAGCAACTTAGTGAGGCCGTAAACAACTTAGGGATATAGATCCTGTCTCAAAATAAAAAGGACTGGGATATAGTTAAGTGAAAGAGCACCCCTAGGTTCAATCCCTAGTACTGCAAAAATAAATAAAATAAAATAAAATAAAAATGGTGATAATCATCCACAGATTTACAGGCTCACAGAAGACCTCAAACAATGCAGGGCTCAGTCACTACCCATGAATCTTCATTTCTCTTTCATCTGTGGGAAATAGCAAGAGGGAAATCCAAGGGCTTACTTTCCTACTTGTCTTTGGTGAATTCCAATTACATTGTTTCAGCTTGTATCAAAGAGGGGGCCAGCGAACAGGATGATTCTAATGAAACCTCATTGCTACTGAATGCTCTCAGTTTCTGACTCAAGCTATAGATCATTAACAGGGCGCCCCTTATTGGCTAAAATATAGTGATGATTATTGTCAATATTGCCACTCCATGTGGGTCAATGCAGTGTCTAAACTACCACCTTATGAAAGAAAAAAAGGGCCATATCCAACTCCAGATGCAGAAACTGCAATTTAGCAGGTTGATTAAGATGGACAAGTTTTCTCAGTGAACTCATTCCCAGAGGGAGGATCTGGAACTAGACCCCAGCGACTGAATCATTACCACCATCCTGAACTAAGTCTTTAATTAAATCAGCATTACACAAAAATCTCATTATCCTTATCCACTTACATTTATTGGTGCTATTTGTAATAATCTATTAGTTGGCATGTGACTAATTTGATAGGTACCAGCGTAACTTTATTTTTGTGAACTGCTTGGTGAAATCAAGAGACTAAAAGGAGGAGACATAGGGAATCAGAAATCCTGACATGGGTCTGGCAGGAAGCAACCAAATCCCTGAATTTCAGCATCCTCACCTGAGTTGTTCTCCATGACAGTGTATATGAGCTTGCAGACTCTCAACAGCAGCATGACTTTCTTTTCTGGTGAATACATCTTCTGCATTGTCATGAATTTGACTTTGATTTTCTCCACATCCACCAAATCAGGGGTTGGGGCAAAGACTCCTAATTCCTGGGGATTCCTCTGCCGCACAAGTTGTAGGTTCTCCTTGAGTTGTTTCCATGAGCCATCAGCCATGTGGAACTCCTTCAGCATGGTCTCCACGTGGCCCTTCAGGGGCTTCAAAATGCACTTGTGCATGGCTTTTTCCAGCACCACATCTGCCAAAGAAAGTGCAGCCACTGTGACCAGAGTCTAAAGAAAGAAGAAATGCAACTTCTGCTTTCAGGGAATGCACATCTGCAATTCCACACATTGGTTAGAGGGTAGACAAGTTGTAACTTAGAACCCAACAGATGGCACGGAGCACCAGCAGACTTAACATGGCAACAGGTTTTTTTTGTTTGTTTTTGTTTTCCATGAGCCAGGAAGAGAGGGTTTTCTCTAACAATATCTTACATAAAATCAGTACAATGAAATTTATTTGTTTGAATTACTTTCACACAAATATGGTATTTTAAAGGAAGGATTTTATTTTCGTGATTAGTATAAATTCAGGATTCCTAAAAAATATTTTCTGAGGAAGAAAATTCAACTACATATAACATCTTGAATTGAATTCTGGAGCAAAAACATTCTTTCCTTTATTTGTTATAAATCATTTCAGTGGAGCATTAGATGAAATCTGAACAAAGACTGTGGATTAGGTAAAAGTGTGAACATAGCCTCTATATGAATTTAGGGGTTGATAATTGTACTGGAATTATGGGATAGATGGCCTTGTTTTTAGGAATATATAATGAAGTATCTAGGGCAAAGGGACAAAATGTACTCTGTATGGTCAGGAAAAAAAGTGTGTGTGTGTACGTGTGTGTACGTGTGTGTGTGTATGTATGTACACAGACAAAGGAGGAGGATGAAGCAAGGGCAAAGTGCAAAATTGAGGAATCTGGGGGAAAGCAAGACATTTCTCTGTATTATTTATGCAACTTTCCTGTAAGTATGAAATGATTTCAAAATTAAAAGTAGAAAATTTTAAAGTGTGTTTCTATTCAGAGTTAGGGAAGATGTTTAGGTGTGGGTGGTATTATTCTTCCCCTCCTTTGTGGCTGGCTATCCACTAGAGTAACTTCTTTGAGAGAGTCTAAGACTGCCAATACCATAAATCTGGAGATCTAGGCTGAAAGTGATTTATACAATGATAAGCTCCCGGCTTTTCCAACACTAACCTTTTAATTTCACATTTCTACATCACATCAAAGTCACCTGAGTTCGATTGCAATGACTGCTCCTGAAATACGACATTTGAATGTGATTCTATTTTAAAAGCCAATGGATTCACTTACTTATAAGATTGGAAATAGTTGGCTTGTCTCTTGGGTCTTTGGAATTCCTGACACTGAATCAGATCATATTGAATCCAAATTATTGTCTATTATTAGAAGTCCAGGAACAAAGAGAAATCTCTGCCAGATGTACAAATACTGAAAGCAATTTTCCTATGCCCCAAAGCTACGACTGAGTCCAGAAGTTAATGCAGTGATCAGACTCCCCAGCCCAGGTTTTTCTTTTTTCCTTCTACCTCCATATCATCTTTGATTGAGAGAGCTCTTTGATTAAATATAGAGTTTTATATCACTATAGAAATCAAGATTGAAGCAAATGAAGTTATAAAGTAAGAAGAAAAGCAGAACTACGTATTCACTTTACACCTGGCATTAAAATAGATTACTTGATTTGCATTGGTTGTTGTGTGTTAATAAATTTGTGTGGCTTCATAATATCTTTGACTATAAGTTATCATTATGATAAAAAAGTAATAGTAACTAATATTGAGTACTCATATGGGTAAGCTCCATCTATATTCTTCACTTCATTATCATCTAATCCTTGTGACAACTCCAACACTTTTGCAGAACACTAATACTACACCCATTTTTCAGATGAGAAAACTGAGGTTCAGAAATATCTAATGGCTTGCTTGAGACCATACAACTATTGTAAAAATTTTTTTTCACTGTTTTTCAAAGTAAACGATCTTTTTCTTTTAAACAGTTTTTAGTTGTAGGTGAACACACAATATATTTGTTTATTAATTTATTTTTTATGTGTTGCTGAGGCTGAAACCCAGTGCCTCACACATGCCAGGCAAGTGCTCTATCATTGAGCTACATACAGCCCCAGCCCCAGTAAATAGTCTTTTAATTCTTAAGTTCAAGGTTCTTCTAAAACATTCACAGGGGAAGAGGGATGGGGGGAGGGTTGTGGCTCAGAGATAGAACACTGGCCTAGCATGTGCAAGGCATTGGGTTTCAGTGTCAGCAACACATTAAATAAATAAATAAATAAATAAATAAATAAATAAATAAATGAAAAGTCTTGTGTCCAACTACAACTAAAAAAATAAAGTTGTTTAAAAAAAAAAAAAACAACATTCACCAGGTTTTTTCCTTTCTCATCCAAAGATTCTAGAAGCTACATTCCTGATTATTAGCAACCTATCTTTGTTAGAATGAGGGCAAAAGTCATGCTGATCATTAATTAGGAATATACATAAATGTTCACAGTAGTGTTATTCATAATAGCTGCAAATTGGAAATAACCCCAAGCGCTGGCTGACAGAATGGATACATTGCACATATTCATACAGTGGAATTCAGACAATGGAATATGTTTATTCAATGAAAAAGAACGCATTATCCCTCTCCAGATGCAGATAATGAAGTTCATAGACACGATATTGTGTGAAAGAAGCCAGATCTAAGAATATCTTCTACAGCATTTCATCTACCTAAAATCCAGGCAAAACTCGCCTCTGGCATCAGAAGTAAGGGTGCCGTTACCCTTGGGGAGGGGGCGCAGAGACGCTTGCTGGGAGGTGATGGGGATGTTGTATTTTTAGATTTGAGTGGTAACTACTTGAGTGTACACATATATGTGCAGCTGGGCACTTAGGATTTATGCACTTTATGGATGCAAGTTAAATCTCAATAAACATGCATACATCAATGAACTCCTGACCAGCCTGGTATTTTCACCTTGAACTCCAAGACCACCTTTTAACTTCAGAGTACGCCTGGTCACCTCTGAGCCCCAGTGTTAATAGAACCATCTCAGAAAGGCTTTGAGCTACTCTTGGGTGACGAACAGAGAGTTCATTACTAGCAAATGGGGTGGCTCCCTTGTACTGCCAGCCCATCCTTGCTGCCAGGGAATGATGCCGATCTTTGTCCTTGTCTTAAAACCTAAAATGAAAAAATAATTGCTACTACTGAAATGGAGGGAAAAACCCGAATAAATCATCTAGTGTCACTTGCTTCTGGTTATTTGCTTTTCTCACAGGTTTTAGAAGCTACTTAACTAGGTAATAATGGGAATAGACACCTAATAGCTTTACTATGGAAAATATCACTGAGGTATGGTTACTGTGGTAACAATTAAGTTATCTTTCAGGAACTCACAAGTAGCCTTGTCTAGCTCAAACTGGTTGAAACCAGTGACCCTTCACTTGGCCTGCACAGGTGTCCCATGGATTGACATCTGAGGGTCAAATACTCTACCATCAGAACTCACCAAGGCTGCCATTTTCAGAACACTCATCCTGTGAAAACTCATAAGCTTTGAACACAGACCACTGATAATTTCCTCTATCCCTGTCTCCAATCACCTGTCCTCACAACTTGGACCACCCTGTTTCTTTATACCCCTAAATCTAATCATCAGGGAGGCAGATTGGAGATTTGGGGTTTCCATCTCCTCATCACTAGCAAATGGAGTAGCTTCCTTGGCCAATTCATTAATAAACATTCTCTTCAGCCAATCTCATTGCTTCAGTGCTGGGCATGTGGCATGGTGGCCAAAACAGGTTCATTCAGTAACAGTGCTAGACTTTTCTTAAAGTAGATTTTTTAAAAGATCACAATTTTAAAATAAAACTGGTCTCTTCATTCTTTTCCAGTCATCTCCTATTATTACCTCCACCAATATTTATTAAATTTAAGGAAGGCTTAGGGGAAGTCAAATGAAAAGAGAGACCTGTGATCCAGTTTGTTCTTTCTAGTGAGAAAACAAAGGTTCTGCTCCTAAAGAAATAGTAAGAAGTGATTTGAGGAACACAGGAAACAAAAGATCTTTCAGAATGAGAACTAACTCAAAAAAAGAAAGAATACCCTGGCATGTTTCTTGTAAATTACTACTCTCTGTTGTTTTCCATTATCTCTGGTTGCTTTAATTCCAAGAAACTAAAACAAATCTTTCAAACTAGGAACAATGACACTATTTTAGGCACTTTATATACACTGGCTCTGCACATCCTCAAATAAACCCGTGCAAGAAGAACTCTTATATCCTCAGGTTACAGATGAGGAAACTAAAACCCTAAGTTGAGATGGATATCAGGCAGCTAAAAGAGGCGGGAGCCAGGATTCCACCGCAAGACATACACTTCCAAAGATCTTGAAGTTACCTCAGTTGTACTCAACCACAATCAGAGACACAAAACAAACACTTGGAAACAACCCCAAAACTTTTAAGGGAAAACAAAATAGGTGACATGTTTTCTTGAAGCTAGCCAATGTCTTCTAATTTTCTAATGACGAGAAAATACTAGAGAATTGTTTGAACCATAACATTTTGAATTTTAAAAGCCCCAATTTAGTTAGAACAAACCTAGAAACAAGTTTTCTAAGTGACCAAAACTGGAAACACATTTTCTGAGCACATTTATATAAATTCCTATTGATTGGTCTCAAGGATGATCTGTAAGTAAAGACCATGGCAGCTGCTAAGGTTCTCCTTGTCTTAAATGTCACTTTCTATAGTAACGAATAGACAAGAATTGATTCACTCCCCTGTTCAAAAAAAGAGACAGAAGATTGTCTTTTTTCCTTCCCTCTGACCTATAGCATAGATTCCAGGGATCAGAGATCAAACAAGGAAGCATCACAAGCCCCAATAATGTATTGGTTTTGTCTGGGCACTTCATGCTTACCCACTGCTGCTAGGGGGAAGTGAGAAACTGAGGGGCAAAGGTGAAGTCCAGATTGTCTTAGAAAGAGCACTGGGAGCCACAAGGCCCAGCTGCCAGGCCAGCCCAGCCCCTTCTTACTCATCGACCTAGACCAAGTCTCTTCACCTCTCACCCTTAACAGTCTGGACTGCAAGCAGAATCATGACTCATGGCATCTGCCCAAGACAGATCGTCAGTCTGAACCTAACTAGA